TTAACAGTGTTAAAACTAATACAATATTAAAATATATTATGTTTGCTTTATTTTCCATTGTTAATATCATTTGGTTAAACAAGTAATACTGTTAACAAACGACAACTTAATAAAATCCTGTTGATCCGTCGGATTCGTGTTCGTAACGGAGTGTCTGCCGCTAAGAGCAGGACGCGGAATCTGATCCTTCTCGGGAGGAGAAATATCAATTGTCCTCGGAGGTGAGGGATCTGAGGGAGCTTATTACTTCGCAGGCAAGAGACACAATTAGTCACTGCGCACTTGATGATGGGTGACATTTAGGAAATCCGTCTTGGACGGCGTCCAAGACGGATTGGGGGCAGCTGCATTCGGGGACAAAATAGATCCACGGTACTTACATATTGACGATACCTTGGCGACACGCGAGCACACCTTGGAGCACACGCGACAACCGCAGCTACAGATTTGGCGGTTTTTAAGTGGCGCCAATCTACACTTAAAATGTTTATTCCAAATAATAAAATATATAAAACACTTCATTTAAAATCGAAACGATTTCAAACGGAATTCTGCTTCCCTCAAACCAGTTGTCTTTTCTAAGTCCCCCACGATAAGCACACTGACTGAAATTGCATTTCTAAAACTTACGTTTACCAAAATAAAGTTTCATGTCATGGGAATTGGGACATTTTCTTTGTTTTGGTAAAATATTTCGCTCCTGAAAAAATAAAATTGCATCTTGTTCTGTTTCTGGCAAATCCCAAATACACATTTTCGTAGCACTACAGAATGGCGTCAAAAATCATCAAATCTACAGCTGTTATATTGGCGCCACTTAAAAACCGCCAAATCTGTAGTTGTTAGATTGGCGACACTTAAAACCACCAAGTCTGTCGCCAAGATATCGTTAATACGTAAGTACCTAGATCCATTTTTGAATATTATTGATAGCCGAGATGCACTTTCCGGAGAACTGGACACCCAATCAATTATTCCGGCAAAAGCCGCCGCGACTGCACAGGATGCGGTTGGCGCGAGATGAAGACGGGAAAATGTTGGCGAAAAAATGTGTTAAAAATCCAGTTGAAAGTATAAAAAAAAAGTCTACTTTTATTCTTAAGCAGCTGGCAAATATTCAGACAATTGTCTTCGATGCCTTAAGGGTGCACCAAAGTTACTCACTGAGCACTACCCAGGAGGTGCGTGCAGCTTGAAGATAAGCTACGGACTCGAGTAACACTACCCTCACTTCGCTCTACGTACGATCCTATTAGGACCGGGACCTACGGTTTAAAGTGCATTCCGAACCACTACAAACATCCATGGCCCAGCTGGGATTCGAACCCTATACCTATGTTACAGAATACCAGAGCGCTAACCACACGGCCATCAGGCGCCATATATTATTTATTATAATCAAAAGAATAAAATTGTTGTTGTTACTTATCCCATTTGGTAGATATCTAATCTAGACCCAGCCCACGAACCCGCGCGGACTCAGGGTTGAAGGAGAAGGAAGCAACTTCTGTTGTGAAGGAGCGCCCGTAGGTAGAAGTCTGACTTTGGTTCCGTCACGCTCTTACAGTCACAGGAAACCGGGACCTACGGTTTAAAGTGCATTCCGAACCACTACAAACACCTACGGCACCGCCGGGACTCGAATCCGAAACCTGTGGTATCGGGCGCCAGAGCGACCCCCTTGGTGTTAGAGAAGATGAATGATGACGAAAAATGTGTTAAAAAGTCAGTTGAAAATATAAAAGAAAAGTCTAATCAAGTAATATAAAAAAAAAAAATTATTATTATTATTATTATTATTGTATGTGAATAAGACTTAGTGATGCCTTCGAGATAAAACTCCTCTCTAAATTACTTTATTTAAGGGTTCGAGTCCCGGTGATGCCATGGATGTTTGTAGTGGTTCGGAATCCACTTTAAACCGTAGGTCCCGGTCTAACAGGATCGTAGAGCGTTGCGGGGGCATTGTTACTCCGTGTCCGTGGCTTATCTTCAAGTGACACGCGCCCCTTGGGTAATGCTAAGTGAGTAACGTCTGTACAGCGCTTGCCTTAAGGCATCCAAGATCAAGCTGTCTAGGTGTTTGCCGGCTGCATTAGAAAATAAAAATTACGTTACTTAAGGCGTTTTGAGTAATGGTTATTCTTAACATTGCCTTCTTCAAGTTGTAGTTCGTATTCTTCTGTTTGTCGATGAAAAAACAAGTAACATAAAAAAAACAAATTTGTAAAATCCATTCCTACTTAGGTCAACACAAATTTTTTTATTTTAGTTACTTTTTATCAAATAATTACAATTAATATAAATATATACATAGGACAGAATCGCACTATTAAGTGGCAAAATTGAAAGCACAATTTCCTCGCAATTTTCCATTTTCCTTTCTGTATAGGGTGTTGGACTGTTATTTTTTGCTTATTATGTTATTATTCGCTTATTGTTATTATTATTATTATTATTATTTATTATTTTTTTTTTTCGTTTCTAATTTATGAAGCTGATGGAGGTCTATAATTCTTGTAATGCTTCATCATTGCAAGGAACCTTTCCAGTGAGTTTCGAGCAGTCCTTCAATGAATAGTCCGTCTGATGATTCCACCCGACTCAAGGCGACATATTCTCAACCTGCTGCGAAGAGCTTTCGTCCTAGATATATTACTGTATAACCTTACATCTTATGTACTGTTGATGCCCATGATAGTATTAATAGTAGCATTCTTCGTTCAGCAGTACCGCAGCTGCGTTTGGCGGGGATTTGCACTAATATTGGCTCGATACCAGTGCAATTCCCCGCCAAACACTTTTTTCTCCCATTTAAAATTGAAATTCATGAATTTAATTTATTGAATGAATGAATATTTGAAAAACTGTATTCACATCCAGTGTCATCCACTACAAATTCAAAAAAAAAAATGTATTTGAACTGGACGCCATTTTGTAGTGCTACGAAAATGCGTATTTGGGATTCGCCAGAAACAGCACAAGAGGCAATTTTATTTTTTCAGGAGCGAAATATTTTAGCAAAACAACGAAAATATCCCAATTCCCATGACATGAAACTTTATTTTGGTGAACGTAAGTTTTGGAAGTCAGTGTGCTTATCGTGTGGGAAAAGACAACTGGTTTGAGGGAAGCAGAATTCCATTTCGTACAGCTTTGAGATTCATGTACTGCTGGTGCGAGGAGTTGACGTCGATTAAATTTTGTGAAAAGCAACTTGATTTATCGGATAAAACTGTTATAGATTGGAACAATTACATGCGTGAATTATTTTGAAAGCGTTTTGATTTTAAATGAAGTGTTTTATATATTTTATTATTTGGAACAAAAATTTTAATTGTGGATTGGCGCCACTTAAAAACCGCCAAATCTGTAGCTGCGGTTGGCGCGTGTACTCTTTATTGGCGCAACTGTCACCAAGGTATCGTTAATACGTAAGTACCGAAAATACATTTTGCATTGTGTGCTCGATTCCTTATCGATAAAGAAAAATCATTGCTCGATTCCCTCAGCTCCCTCAGTTCCCACTGTGGTTTATTAGGCATTTATGAATTGAATGATTCACGCTTTGATCTTCCTGAGACGGAGATATGCCATGCCAACAAGTTTTGCCATGAGCATCACTCATTCACAAAAACCTATTTTTTTTTTTTTTTACTACTTGTTTTTTATGCTAGATCTTGTCAAAAAAAAAGTTAAAAGTTTTAATTAAACTTTATTTTCAGAAATAAACTGTACTTTCCGTGAAAATCAATGTTTTAGAATTTTAAAATGTCCGAATCTGAGGTACAGCAATGCTCGTCAATTATGCGTTTGTTTAATATTCTTGGATTCAGTATAGAGAATTTCTCTGGTATTGAAATTTATTAGATAATTTGCTAATTGTGATGCAGATAACGCAAGATAATTGTTAATGCGAAAAATTTTGATAATCAACGTATAAATAAAGAATAGCAATTGTGGCAATTGTGATGCAGATAATTTGCTAATTGTGATGCAGATAACGCAAGATAATTGTTAATGCGAAAAATTTTGATAATCAACGTATAAATAAAGAATAGCAATTGTGATGCAGATAATTTGCTAATTGTGATGCAGATAATTTGCTAATTGTGATGCAGATAACGCAAGATAATTGTTAATGCGAAAAATTTTGATAATCAACGTATAAATAAAGAATAGCAGGTAGAATAAGATGCATCAAATATTAATAAGTATTTATTACGTGATGATTGAATAAGAAATACACCATGTTGACAATAGGGTTTGAATTTCTTGAAAATTGCCGCTGAAATTCTCTAAAATGGACCCTCGCCAGTGCAAATTTGCGATGTCATGAAAAATGAAATGCCGTTTCATAAATTATGAAAATAATAATAATGCAGCGACATTAATGAACGACTTCTAAATTAATATCACCACTCTTTTTATTTTTCAGCAGAGATTGTATGGTATAATATTGTTACAAATTATGCGAGTCATAGTTAATTTTTAGTGAATTAGCATCTTCGAATGAAATATTAAACAATACACATGACCCCGTTAATTAATAACAATAAGAATAGTTGGTATATTTTCAAGAATTGATGAAAAAAATGGGTTAGTAGGGAAAAAAAAAATACATGTTTTCCATGTTAATAAGTCTTAAAGCTTCTAAATGGCATACAAAAAAGTTATGTTAACTCACAATTCTTTTTGTAAAATTACGCAAAATGTTGTTGTTGTTTCTTATCCCACTTGGCTGGCCAAGCCCACGAGCCCATGCGTGCTCATGATTGAAGGGGAATGAAGCAGCTTCTGTTGTGATGGAGCACCCGTAGGTAGAAGCCTGACTTTTGCTCCGTGACGCTCTTACAGTCATAGGAGACTGGGACCTACAGCTTAAAGTGGATTCCGAACCACTACAAACATCCATGGCACCGCCGGGATTCGAACCCGAAACCTGTGGCACCGAGCGCCAGAGCGCTTAGACACTCGGCCATTCAGGTCCCAAATTTGCC